TTATACAAGCCAAATATGTTGTTCTGATTGGGCAAGAGCTTGTTTTTAATTATGCAAGCCGTGGTTAAATACACTCTATGCTACAGGTTTTGATGTTTAAAAAATCCTGCTGCCAACTCAAATCGTTCATGAACCAGGAAGATTTGACGATTGTGGAACATCTTGTGGTATACCCACCTTTGGCCGTGGTTTATTGTCTCAGTAATCATACAATAAACACAACTGTTGGTTTAGATATACATGTATGTAGGAAATATGTCTAGTCAAATCTATTAGGGTTATTTGCACATTATCGATAAAATGTGCAATCTAAAATATTGATGAATGATGTCAGAATACCAGGACCCACTAACATTGAACATGCAAAGCAAGCATACAATTCTGTTGAATCAATAGAACTATAGAGGGCGCACTAATCATAGAACATGTATTCCATAGTAAGTGAGATAATAAATGGTGTGTAAAAATAAAGTTAACATTTACTATAAACCAGATCTATAGTTTCCAATGATATCACAGAGGCACGTTATTATTTTTTCACAAAGTATTTTGATGCTGGTAAACAGAAAGAAAACTCAAACAATAAACATTGAAATATTCGAGAATACCTCGGCTGTGGAGTGACAAGAACATACATGTAATCCCAGCAATACATTTTAGTGGTAAATGGAACTATAAATGTGATGACAGGATAGAATGGAACACTACTGTAAAATACTTTATTTTCGCTTGGAATTTATTTTCGCTATTTTCGCTGAGGAAATGATTCAGTGAAAATAATTAAAATCTAGTGAATATACCCTTTTTCCTATATTTCACATTCAACTTGTCAAAAATCAGTGAAAATAAATTCTGTACAAAACAACCAAAAAGTCTTTTCAGCGAAAATTAATTCAAGCTAAAATAAAGTATTTTACAGTATCTTGTGACCTTGGCAGCCATTTCTACCATTAGATTCTTTATTTTTGTGAGAGATAAATGTCTATAAATTCTACGAGACATTGAAACAACCAAGAAATGTAAAAGGACACATTATAGACATTGACCTCCAGATTACTCTCGAGATAGGAATCAAGTTGAGTTTGTATTATCAAGTCCGAAGTACAATGAGCTAGCTATTAAAATTCAGCTTAAATAATGTGTGTAACTTGGCTGATTAGTAAAGTAAGACCTGTCACCTGAAAATTCCTGAATATCTTTTGCAGTTGTTCATAATATTGCACATAAACTGGTATAACCTAAACTTTGCTGAGTAGAAACATACTTCACTAACTTATAATCAATATTTCCTAGCCACAATTAAAATTATTTCCTCCAAAGTTTATAGAAAAGTTGGTGGGTTCACTTTTATTTTCCATGCACCAACCTTTTTATATTGGGTTGTCAATTCGTTGACATAACAAAAAGATTGGGCAATGTACATTATGAACAATGCATTTTGTTATGATGTTATGATATGATAGCCAATTTGAGCAGTAAAGAGACAGACAGACATCGTACCTTGTTGATCCGGGCATTCTTTCACTATGTCATTGGGAGCAGCAGAATCATAAGAAATGCATCGACTTTCATCAGTAACCCAAGCACATGTAATACCTGGACTACCAAGTATGCATGATTCTTCATCACCAAATGCAGTGCAATCACCTATTGTGATAAAAACAAATTATCAGAGTGAGGATAAGATTGTACTCAAGCCATTACTGGTAAGAAAGCAATCACTTTTGATTACCGAGAGTTGTACATTTGACAGTAAGTGATATAATGGTTTGATATCTAATTAAGAAATAATCAGAAAGAAACAATGTTATCAGAACTGTTCTTTGGTTTGTCTTTACCTACAATCATGCATACTTTGTGGTGAACACATTTAATTTCAATGCAATCTGTCTGTAAAGGAATAAATAGAGCCTATTTGACAGTGGTACTGTATAACAGTGAAAACATGCTTCTCATGGTATTTTGCACTATGGAGAATTGAGCAAAAACCATTATGTTGTTGGAGCACTTGAGTGACCTGATAGATAGATCAAGTCAGCCGATTTGAGTAGACTTTTCAAATCAAAGTGACGTGCACCAACCTCCAAGTAATGGTTAATCGTTCCACCAAGTTTGAAAAAATCAAACAACACATGTCAAAGGTAAAAAATACCTGATTTAAGTTTGTTTCTAACAACTAAAACTGTCAGTAGTCAGCCACCTTTGATCAGATGAGAAATTGTATGTATGCCATGATGTACTGTAAAATCTGTATTAGAAGCTGCGGTTTCTATTTAAATGGTACAATGCAACAGAGGGGATACGGCTTCTATTAGAGCATTTACACACATAAGCAATGGTGAATTTTTGGTTCTCATTTGTTCAAAAAGAATGGGTGTGACTTCTACTAGGGATGCAGTTTCTAATGCAGAATTAACGATACTGTCTATTTATGAAGTTCAAAGTGAATTGCTCAAAGCATGTACAAAGAATCTACAACAAATAATATTTAAAAAAATGGCCACCAGTCGGCCATTTTGAGTTAAACTTACAAGTCAAAGTTGCAGGCATTACTGTAAATTGTACTTACAATTTTTAATTCTTCCACAAAGTTTGAAGTAAATCAGGCAAAATGTAAATGTAAATGACAAAATGACAAAGACAAAGACTTAACTGCAAGCCCCTGTTTCAGACTTCATACACATGGAGACTAATAATAGTAGATATGAATGAAAAGTAAATACCTGGTTTATAAACAAGCAATCGTGCATCATACACTGTTATATCACTAATAATGTACATCATGTCTGGTACGTCACAGCGCTGTGTCCAAATCTACTGATGTCTTTGTGTAATTCACTAATCCAAGTAACAGTAGACCACGTTAAACAATCTATCAAAGACACGAACAATGTGATCAATAAATCAATCGGTCTGATGGTCAGTCTGGTCAATCAATTGGTCAATCTGGTGGTCAGTCTGGTCAATCAATTGGTCAATCTGGTGGTCAGTCTGGTCAATCAATTGGTCAACTAATTGGTAAGTCTGGTCAATCTGGTGGTCAGTCTATTGGTCAGTCTGATCAATTAATTGGTCAGTCTAGTGGTCAGTCTGATCAATTAATTGGTCAGTTTGGTGGTCCGTTTGGTCAATTAATTCGTCAGTCTGGTCAATTAATTCGTCAGTCTGGTGGCCAGTCTGGTCAATTAATTGGTCAGTCTAGTGGAAAGTTTGGTCAATTACTAGTAATTGATCAGTCTAGTGGTCAGTCTGTTCAATTAATTGGTCAGTCTAGTGGTCAGTCTCTTCTGGCTGTATATTATTTTAAGACGACGAAAATTGGCAAAATTGAAAATAAAAAATGTATACTTACGTAAATCAAAGGCTATCAGATTTGAGGAATAACACTTTGCACCAGTACTAGCAGCTGTATCATTGTGAGGATTTCCCCCAAATACATAAAACATACCACCCATTGAGACAGATGAATGTAAATACTGAAAGTGACCACTTGATGGCAAAACACTCCTGCAAGAAGACAAAGTACAAATCTCAGATTTGATATACAAAGATACAAGTGAAACAGAGAAATGATGCATTTCTGATGTATTAAAAAGGGGGTCAATTCATGCCTAAAATTATTCAGATTTCTATTTTACAACAAACAATACTGTATGTCCAAAAAAAGGATTGATGAATAATGTTGAGCGATACACAGGTACAAGTAGACAAACTCATGATGTAGACATAAATACATGTACATGTAGTTTATTACAAGTTTTATAAATGTGTGCGTCAGACTCATTGCCATGATCACCTGACATTCAAAGCACAGCTTTTCCCTCAATGCCCCAGATTGCACCAGTGTAGTTCAGTGTTATGGGAAATGTTATTTGGCATGACCACCCCATTGTTTGACATGTATACAACCATTATCAGAGATATTAATCTTACGTAAGTATGTGTTAACATACAAACACTGTTGTCTGCCATGAAGGGATCTATTGTCAACCGTTTGGACCAACACTTGATTCAAATAAACCTGTGATTGACAGTCAGTACTCAATTCAATTTGATTATCATGCAATTTGCATACTGAAAACTGGTCACCATCTTTTTCTATTGTACACCCAGAATTGCACTTTTAACTCCAACTTACCAATGTCTTGTTGAAGGTTTATAAGAATACAGATCATCAGATAGATAATATGAATTCTTAGTTGCAGCTTTGTTACCACCATAGACATAGATGAGATCATTATGACTATCATATGAACTACTATGACCATATGCACCATTAACATTGACACCTGTCGTTGATGGCAGCGTCCATTTGCCAGTACCTATAGAATAAAATTAGACAGCTTCAGTTATGCATTAATCCTAGTAAATCTAAATAATAGAAGGAGCAAAGCTCAGGTGTATTCAGAGAAACTGAGGTAGATGGGGTACAAGAATGGTTTTGTTTTCATAAATATGTTTAGAGGGAAGGAGTGTTTGAGGAAGGTTATGGAGACAAAAAGATGGGGTTAGTAGTGACAGGGATATGGTGGAACTGATGGACTATAAGAAAGAAGACAGAATCTGCATAGACTAAGACACTTAGTAGGGTAGATTACTCTATAGTTTTAGAGCTACCTAATACCACAAGCCAGTGTGGAAATAGCAGTCATGTCTATCCTATCGAGAGAAGTGTGTGAGAATACTTACGTGAATCAAACTCCTGTACAATATTAGTGTATCCTAATTCAGGACTGTAACCGAATATAATTATCATAACACCATTCACCATGTGTGCTGTATGACCATCCACTGCATACCTATGACCACCTGTCTCTATATGGTGCCATGTCTCAGTAGTAATATTAAAAGACCACAGTTGAGCTACAATTTTATCTACCCCCTCTGCTGTCTCTGTACCACCATACATGAGTAGACTATCCTATAATGAAAAGAGTCAAAAGATTTCCAAAATGTCAACATGGATCTTCTTTTACAGCAAAGTATTTTTTTCATGAATTTAGTCCTCATTAAATTATTAATCATGAAGAACTGAAAAGTTCAAAAGCAATTATTTTTTTCCTTGTCCAATTAATGAAAAAGTTATGATACAGGACATAATTCCTACACAACATTTGATGTTGGAGACACTGATAGAGCATTTTTTGCTCACTGCGAGATCCTGTGTTATGCATGAAATCGAACGAAAAAACGGGACAAACAAAGGTCATAGCGTTATATCGTAGTTGGATGTGAACACTGTATAGGGTTTGTCAAAAGCAAGTATTTTGGGGTCTTTTTCTGCATTATATGATGTACACATTTGATGATGATCCAATACTTCTTACTTCAAAGATTGAGCTATAAAAAATTTTTTTGCAGCAGAGTTTTTTATGCAACTTTCATGCAGTACGGAAATCTCGAAGTGAACGGGAAAATCTCGCAATTTATGCAGATCAGAAAACTTGCCATTACTGAGAGTTACTAAGCACAACTAAAAAGTGACTTACTTTATTGAGTACTAGTGAGTGTCCATATCTTTGTGTAGGTTTTGTCTCCGATAGGGGGAGTACAGCTTCTGCATGTCCCAAAGTAATATTATACCTAAATATGAAATAATAGTAACTAGGTAAAACAAAATTCAAAACAAAGAAAATGAAATAAAATAAAACAGAAAGCAGCAGAAGTGGAATAAATGAGAAAGAAAAAAGAAATATTATTAGAATGACTAACAGACACAGATACAACGAGCCAGCACATACTGTAGAATACTTTATTTTCGCTTGGAATTTATTTTCCCTGAAGGGATGATTCTGTGAAAATAAAATCCAGCGAATATACTTTTTTTCACTATATTTCACATTAAACTCATCAGAAATCAGTGAAAATAAATTCCATACAAAACGCCTAAAAAGCCTTTTCAGCGAAAATTAATTCCAGCAAAAATAAAGTATTCCACAGTAAGCTGCGGCTGCAAGCCTTATTATCTGGAGTTGCATGAAAACATGATTAACATCATAAAAGACTTTCGTTTTTCCACCTAACATTTTGGTACAACATTTTGGTACAACATTTTGTGTATTTGGATTTTAGAAAGCTACTGTAGAATACTTTTATTTCCGCTTGGAATTTATTTACGCTATTTTCGCTGACGGAATGCTTCAGTGAAAATAAAATCCAGTGAATATACTTTTTTTCCTATGTCTCACATTCAACTCATCAAAAATCAGTGCCAATAAATTCCATACAAAACACCCAAAAAGTTTTTTCATGGAAAATTAATTCCAGCTAAAATAAAATATTTCACAGTACTAGTTTCTTTGTCAATACCTCTAGTGTCTGACATTTCACAAATTTTCACCAATGACTTATATTGGGGGAGGGGGGCCTTATTGCAGTGCAGAATCATCTGAGCTCATAAAATTGTTTTGTAAAATTGGAAAAGTGATGCTATTTGTAAATACTTCAATCCCTTCTTCCTACCAGTACTTGAGAACTGCACACAATCAGCCTAATCACTATTTTGAGAAATTTCATTTGCAATGTTTTGAGTTTGTAGTACCAACAGTACTTCTCCTTAGCTCTGCTTTGCAAGCTATTGGCATATCAACTTTGACCTATCACCTTTGACATTTTTTCTGCAGGTTTTTCAAATCAAATCACGGGTAAGATTTTATCTCAGTTACAGATTAGAAATAAATATCACCTACTGCCCCCAAACACTGTTTCTGTGCAAGTGTTCTGCCCCCTTTCATTAGCAATTCCAGATTTGAACCAAAAGTATACAATTTCCTTCTGATTAACATTTTTGAAAAAAATATGCAAATAATTATGCTTGTTTATTTTGTAAAACGTGACAAAACTGTACTTTGTCACTCATGGCTTTGACCTTCACTGAAAGTGTCAGTATGTGATGTGCTAACATACTTTGCTAGGATTCTATTTATAACATTGGCAGTCACCCTGCTCGCTAATTAGCCAACTACTACTAAAACATTTTTCTAAATTTCCTCTAAGATTAATTTTCTTTAATTGATTTTTTCCTAGGAATCACCAATTAGAATAAAATATTAGATAGAAGCTGTATTTAGCAATACCCTTGAGTATTATACATCACTGTATTATAAGACCTGTGTGATCATCATGTTCAATGAACTGTTAATTTTGAAAATTTTGTCATCATCATTGTTAATTTTGAAAATTTTGTCAACTGCCACTTGTATTAATGGCGCCCTCAACTAAAAAACTAACTATCACTATAATATACCTTTGCTTAAAAATGTACATTGATTACAATATTTTTCACATTTGCTTACTGCTATACCTCTGAGCAAATTCCTAGAGAGCTTGTTAATATTCTGCAAATTACATTCAGCCTCTTTATGTACAAAATTACAGTAGAATACAGTAAACAATGTAATATAGCAAGATACGCAATTCCCCAGAGCATTAAACCATGCTGTTATTATAAGAGTTCTTCATGTTATGTTATTATATTCACCTTAAAATATCAAGGTAGTTGAGGTTATTAGAAAAAGGATATCCGCCAACTATCCATATTACATCCCCTTGTAGTACTGATGCATGGGAAGCTCTTCCTGGATTTAAATTATCGTAAATTAACTCCCAGTGTCCATCTGTGGGTGGAGTCAGACAATCATATCCTGTAAATATGAAAAACATTGCAATAATGGTAAATGTATGTATGTAGCTGCCCTACATGCCACTAGGACAGTAATGGGAAGTAAGTATTAAAGTCAGTATGTATGCAATGTGGTTCATGGAAGAGTATCAGTAGCAGCTACCATCGCATGGTAGTGTTGATTTCATATCAAATACAGGTTGTTATATAATTTAGTCATTCAGTTCTCTGTAGAGTGTATACCAAATCCCTTTCATTTCTATATGTTATTAAAGCAACCTCAACTCGTACAATATCAAAGCCCCCAAACAAGGTACAATGTAGCTAGACTTGCATGTTATTAAAGCCCCCAAACAAGGTAGCTAGACTTGCATGTTATTAAAGACACCAAACAAGGTAGCTAGACTTGCATGTTATCAAAGACACCAATCAAGGTAGCTAGACTTGCATGTTATCAAAGACACCAATCATAATATTATCTATGTGAAAACTACCTAGACTCAAACGTCAACAAAGCCACCAATCAAGGTATCATGTGAAAATTATTTAAACATGTACATGTATGTTTTTAAAGCCACAAAAAGTATCACTCTGGTAGGACAGTTAGGAAATAGTATGAATTAACCAGTCAGAATGGGTGTCAGACGTGTAAAAACCAACTCCATTTTTCCCCTACTATCACAAGCCCCGGTATCCCACTCACTCAATACACAATGTACAGCATATACCCCAAACAAAATATCAAATTTGACACAGAACAAAATCCGACAGACAAAATAATCAATGAAGACGATTCCATCCTCCATTCAATTCCCTACTACATCATTTTAACAATAATATCCCATGTCATAATAATTAACCTTCTTATGCTAATTTAAATAATTACTTCTCAGATACACCCTCCTCATTACCTTGATAGTCATCTGTACATTGACATGTGAGTGTTGCTGGTTCACAATGTCCATGATCTCCACAATCATTTGGACATATTACTATATCACATGCATCACCAGACCAGCCACTCTCACAATCACATTTAGGACCTTCTGTACAATTACCATTATTAGAACAATCTTTTGGACAACTATTTACACTGTGAAGACATAATCAAAACATTCATCGTTTTTAATCTTGCAATTAACAGCAATTGGCATATTATGTACAAGATCTGAACACCCAAGAAAACATAGAGTGCTGGGTTGTGAAAGGTAATGTCATCGAGCATAGTTGATATATTGAAGCGTGATGGTATTCAAAAGTAAAACAGGAACACACTATACTGTTTTTACATTTCAAAATGCCTTCTTTTTTGAACACAATACTGTCAAATACTTTATTTTAGCTGCAATTAATTTTCGATAAAAAGACTTTTTGAGTGTTTGGTAAGGAATTTATTTTCACTGAATCATTCCTTTAGTGAAAATTAATTCCAAGCAAAAATAAAGTATTTGTGGCTTGATAAAGTTTGGAACATTGCATGAAACAACACTCTTGAACTCATGAAACTACAAACAAGATGACGACTGAACAAAAAAATATTATGGTGCCCTAAACCTGACATGCAGCCTCCGTCCGGCACAGGTCTTTGACTGGTTAGAGAAAACATTCAAAAGTCATATTCATTGGTGATTTTCAGCGTTCACGCTGCATCCAGTGACAGTATTTGACAGTATTTAAATTTTCTTAATATTCACCATTTTTAACAGTTCAATGAATGAATTAAAAGAAAAACATTACCTGTATGAAATATTAAAACCTGTCATAATATATGCTGCATCGCTATAAAAATGTAGATATGCATAACCAGATGACGTTGTCACCTCTGGTATACTTGTATTGGAGCTAGCAGTCTCTGGTACTAACAAACCACTGTTAAAAGAAACAAGTACCGGTACTGTAAAATCTGTATTAGAAGCCGCGGCTTCTATTAAAATGGTACAATGCAACAGAGGGGATGCGGCTTCTATTAGAGCATCTACACATATGAGAAATGGTGAATTTTTGATTCTCAATTATTCAAAAATAATGGGTGCGGCTTCTATTAGAGATGCGGCTTCTAATACAGATTTTACGGCACATCTTAAATAACAAACATAAATATACAACATTTGTAAAACTGGCAACCGTTAAATTATGGCTGCTATAAATATTTGATTGATAATTTGATGGTATTTGTGAGAACTAAAGACATTTATGGAATGTCCAATATGCGGTTATACAACATGTACATGCAAGTATGCGCACAAAATCTGGCACTCAAAGAGATATGCAAAAAATGATGGTCTTCAAAAACCAAGGTAGTACAATATATTCAATAAATCAGCTTTTACATTAATATACATTAGTTTGATCAACAACAAGATTACCTTAGAATATATTACACACTAAACAAACACAGTTTATGATTAGCTTACACTACACATAACTTTTTAATGAGATTAATAATGGCCGACTCACCTGACAGCTGCCACTAATGGATCATATATGCTATTACCGTCATATACGTAAAAATAATCCCAACAACATTCAGTTTCAAAATGATCAAATCTCAATCTAATAATTGAATCTAGCCTGCATTAAAAAAGGAACATAAAGATATTTACTTGACAATCTGAAGCTGTATCTTCAGATGATGTATATAACACTGAGAATGACGAATACTTTAGCACTGACTTGACAACGGTGTATCACATTGGCTGATTAACGACTGCAATTCCTAACGAGATTGTTGGAAATCAAACATAGTTGGCTTTTTTGCCATGACTCATTCAGAAATTGTGTAAACTTACAACACATTGCATGAGCATTAAAGTTTGAGTTGCTGTTAAAAACATTGCAGCTCAGTCATTGATATGGTGGGTTAGCGTGACATGTAGTGGTTCACAATGTGCAGGTACACGTACATTGTATTACTGTAAAATACTTTATTTAGCTGAAATTAATTTTCGCTGAAAAGACTTTTTGGGTGTTTTGTATGGAATTTATTTTCACTGACTTTTGACGAGTTCAATGTAAAGTATAGAAAAAAAGGTATATTCGCTGGATTTTACGTGAATCATCCCTTCAGCGAAAATAGTGAAAATTAATTCCAAGCAAAAATAAAGTGTTATTCTAAAGGGAAGATCTTCACTTACTCTCCACTATCTATTAACCATGTACAAGTATGCACATGTTTGTAATTCCCCGGACCATCCGTTATGTAACCAGTTGGCGAATCTAACCTGTTGGACAAAAATAGATAAATCATTAGAGTGCAATGTGAAATTATAAACAAATCACAAGAATGTTTTTGTGTTGGATGTGCTGTATCATATGAACGGATGTATTCCATCAGAATGTTCTCATCAGATAACATTTGTCCAACATTGGTAGAAGTTACAATTCCATTACAAATTGACCATTTTAGAGTCACTTCATGACTTTTGGTGCAGTGGATCTGGTTTGCACTATTAACAATCTGATGTAATATTACCGGTATTATTTTATTTTTAATTTAAATTTTGTCATAAAATAAATAAAAAAACAAAAAATACAGTATTAAAAATTAAACAAAATAAATAACAATAATTAAAAATATTTAGCCCATACATGACATCAGATTAATATTATAATATGCAATGAGCTGCGAATATTCTAAATATTGGCGTCGTCAGGTATGGTCAAATTCTTTCACAGCTTATATATTTATAGACACAATTTTATAACCTTTTTTTATGACTACCTTGGCTCAAACACTACCACACTGTTATTTTTTATAGTATGTCTAGGACACCATGCATGAAAAAACTGATATGACACAAAAACATCTTATATGTGCAGAAATTTTGAATGGTTAAAAATGCTGTCAAATTCTAGAATTTCACCATCTTGCAATTTAAAACATCACAATATTATACACAGTTACAAATATTTAAAAACACAGAAAGCTGTCAGGTAATGATGCATTATTATTATTAAAATAATGCATTTGTTAGTTACATTAAGTTTGGTATTTCTGGCTGATAATAAATTTTTAAAAAATTATGACAGAAGCCTTTTTATTTTCAGGAAAGACGAATTTTTTATGAATTCTCTTTGAGTTTCTAACAATTTTAAATTTTGTAGCAGTTAAAATTCCTGTGAGGTGCTACAACACAGAAAGCCAGATTTTTACTTCAAAATACTGTGAAAATCATCGAATTGAAAACAATTTTCAGCAGCAAATTAAGCAGATTGCAGTAAATATAAAGTAAGATGTTGCATAATATACATGTATGTATGCCCTGGGGTGTTTTATACAGGTATAAACAAAATTACAATTCTTCAGAATAATTCACTACCAAATCAAATGCGTTTTTTTTTTATTAATTTGACCTTGTATGAATGTATTCTATTTTGTCTGAGCTGATAACATATATAGTTTATAACAGTTGATTTTGATATTTAGTACTTATGCAAATATAGTATTTTATTTTTGCAATTTTTGTCATTTTAATGTGCTATTATTTGTTTGTCACAGAATAAACAAATAAGGTCATAACTACATCACTTTCTACTCAATATTTGTCTAAATGAGCCTTCTCTGTCAGCAAACCCTCTCTATGGTACATTTATTTAGCATATCTTACATCAAGGAGGCTAATGAATGACCCTTAAAGGTTACACATCCTGGTACTTTCTCTGGGCTATCCCTGAGAATTTTTCAATTTAATAGTTTTAAACTAAACAGCAGATGTTATTGATGTTTAAAAACACGGCAACATTTGAGGACGCATATTGGTAATCCCCCCCCAAATTACCAGGATGTGTGACCTTAGAATCATGCATATATATTACTATTGACACCTGTCATGTTTAAAACTGTATACAGATTGCTTCTTAAAGGTTCTCAAATAGAAATTCGAAGGTGAAATTATAAAAAAAAAAAATCTGCAGTGAACAAAAAAACAATTTCACACATCTTGAAAGAGAAAAGACATTTTTGTTTATACATGTAGCAACAACATTGAGAAAAAAAATATAGCTCAAAACTAGGTGAAGGAATAATAATATTTTCACAGTGGTTCTACGCCCTCCGCAAGTTTCTAATATTCACCCCTAAAAAGAGCAAATACAGTGTTGAGTATTCAGGATTACTAATCATACAGGAAAGGAACAATCTGATTTTATCAGAGACAGCAGGTTTCTTGCAATCAGATTAGTATTCATCAGCTACCTGCCATGCCTCCTGGGGAGACAACAGAATTTTGACAACCACGTTTTTGTCAGCGTTTCAAAGTGATTTAGAACACGTTAAACATTTTGTTTAATAATGTTCATTATTCTGAAGAATTGTAATAATGTTCACTAATAAAGAAATGGAAAAATTTAAATGGACAAAATGTTATAATTTAGTATTTATACAAAGACCATTGTTTGCTGATACAGTACATTTTATTCCCTCAACAAATTGAAGAATTTATTAAAAGGTAAAAAAAAAAAGAATACGTATCACCATATGTTCTGTGGTATTTTATCTGAAAAATGAATATCAATATTAAATTCCCACAACAAACAATGGGTTTGAATAATTTGGCTTTTATGCAGTGCAGTTTGACAGTTTGACGTTAGTACTCATGACAGGTAACATACATGTAGTCAGAGTGATTCAATTACCATGTACAGAACTGCAGTGAATGCAATGCAGTCAGATGAGCCTGGGAGAGTAAGGCGTGTAATAAGGTTGATATTTCCCCATTTACATCGCTAACTTACTATTACATTTTTCATCAAAGTGTAATCAGACCAGGTCATTACTAATATACAATATATTAGTGGGCTACAAAGGTAAATAATGAGTATCATTATTTTGGTTGTATATGTGTTTATAAGTGACCTTGATTTCAAATCTTCCTGTCAGCTTCAGAGTTGATTCACCAATGTTTATCACTGGTGCAATTACAATCATTACAACAGAATTGTTAATGAAAAATTGTTAAAATTCATTAGTTAATTTATAAACAATGTCATAATTGTTATCAGTTTTGCAGCATCTTAGACTTGGTGTCACTAAAATGGACACTGACACATGTACATGCAGGCAGTTTACATGATTTAACTTAATTTACCATACTTGCTTATGGCATCACAGTTTATGGCATCACGTTATGAAGCTGACAAAGAATGGCAACTCCATACTGAGTTATTGAGAAAATTGTAAAAATCAAAATTAATTTCCAAAAACTTTAAATATAGTTGGCACGCACAAGAAGCTGACAGTTTTGAAAGTGGAATACATGTACATAGTCTTCCAAATTGATTAATAAAAGTTACAAAGCATCCATTGATATATTCTATATCCATATCCACAGTGAATTACATGTGAGCAATTTTTTGCTGAACATGGCCACGGATCCAGACCATTTATGAATAGATAGTACATGCAGCTCAAAATTAGAAAACAATTAAAGAATGGACTGTGTAAACATTTGAAGTGTATACAGATATTAGAGTTTATGTTATAATAACAGTAAAATATTGAGAAATGGTCAATTTGAATGTGATACACATGTAACCTTTGTTATAGCTCCGCTGTAGACTTTGTCAAGCATACCATACATGTATGAGTGAATGTCTGTCGGCGTCAACTTTTTATTTTTTCAACATCATCTTGATAACTACAAGCCGGATTGCTTTGATACTTGGTGTATACATGTATGTACCTCACTTAGATTTGTTCATTTCACGATACATTTGTAATATCTTTAATACCCTTATTTTGGTGAATATTTTTGTAATTTTGGGGAAAAAATTATATTATACATATAGGTACTACTACAAGTGGACCTCTCTCAGATGATATCTTTCATTCTTTAATTGAATAAGCTGCTTGATAATACATTATTGCAACATGTTGTGTTCAAAATGGGTCCATGCTGTGTATACAACATATGTAAAATAAATTGATTTTACAATGCATGGTGGCAACAAC